TACTCCGTGAAGAAAGTATATTAAATTCACATCGTTCGTTTGCCGATCAATTACTACTCCCTGGAAGCATTCGTGTCATTTTGTGAGCTCTTGTAGAGTAGCTGAATTCCTTTTGATTCTATGGGGACCAAGATAGGCTGGGATACCCGGGTCTCATGGGTGATTGGATGCCAACATGAAAAGATATTCAAAGGAATTTCCTCTTGCGTTTTGCAAATTATATCGTTTTTATGAAATATCAAATTTTAGTAAAGCAAATCTGAGCCTTTTTCGTACTTGGAACAAGACACGTGTGATAATATGACTAGGTGGATTTTTTTCTATCAAGCTGATCGTTTAAAGGGAAGGATGTGCTGAAGTCGACATTTTACTTGTTTTTGCTTTTAGTAACAATGACTATTTACTCGAAACCTGAAAACCAATAAAAAAAATGGCGATGAATAATTTAAACTTAATAATTGTAGTTCTATTTGCAGGTTACTGAATATTTATGCTTTATAGTTATGATCAAAACATTTCTAGAATTCTATTTCGAAATAATTATTTTCTATCTCTCCAATTACTATCTCTCTCCTTATAAATACACTATCTCTGTCTCTTTCTCTATCACCTCTTCTCTTTCGATTGCATCAATATCTCTATATTATGGCTATCATTTTTCTTTCTCTTGATCTCACAATATCTCTCTTCCCAATCTCCCCCCTCTCTCTCTCTCTCTCTCCCCAATATAATTCTCCTTCTTTTAATTCTCCAATCTCTCTCTTAGTCTTTCCATTTTTCTTTCATTTTCCTAATATTTATGCTTAGCATTTTAGAGTTAACTGCAAAATGTTTATAGGATTCAGTTTGAGGAAAGAGGACTTGGAATATTTGATACTCACAGGCCAGATCGAAGGTAAGAGAGACGAAAGAAAGCAATGCATAACCTTGAATGGATAGATTGCAGAGTAGGAGAGATGGCAAAAAGAGCTAAAATTGACAGGAATTTATGGAGAACCATGATCGGCAACATCATGAAGTGACGTTACACGAAGAAAAAAATCCTGTGACGCGTTTCGTCTTTCAAATTGTATTTATCAGACTAAATAATGTTTTTACTGATATATATATATATATATATATATATATATATATATATTATATATATTTATATATATATATATATATATATTTTATATATATTATATATATGTTATATATATATATATATATATATATATATATATATTATATATATATATATATATATATATACTATATATATTTATATTTTTAATATATATATATATATATAAATATATATATATATATATATATATATATATATATATATATATATATATATATATATATTATATATATATATGTATATATATATATATATATATATATATATATATATATATATATATATATATATATGTATATATATATATGTATATATATATATATATATATATATATATATATGTATATATATAATATATATGTATATATATATGTGTATATATATGTATATATATATATGTAGTATATATATATATATATATATATATATATATATATATATATATATATATATATAATATATATATATATAAATGTATATATATATATATGTATATATATATATGTATATATATATATATATATATATATATATATATATATATATATATGTATATATATATATATATATATATATATATATATATATATATATATATATATATATATATATATATATATATGTATATATATATATATATATATGTATATATATGTGTGTATATATATATATGTATATATATATAAATGTGTAGTATATATATATGTATATATATATATATATATATATATATATATATATATATGTATATATATATATATATATATATAATATATATTATATATATATATATATATATATATATATATATATATATATATATATATATATATATATATATATATATATATATATATATATATATATATATATATATTCATATAGAGCTCCCCAACATCGAGGCGTCCATAAAACGATTCTAGACAAGAAAGCAGCTGAATATGCCGAGACGCTTCTTTAAATTTTATATTTTTCCCGACCGATGTGTCTAGAAGTACGACCTTGTTCAGCTTTCTATCACTTTTATCGCTGTTGTTTTTAAATATACTATATTCAATTTATAAATGATTTTATGCTTACAAATAATTTCGTATTTTTTCTTTGAATGCATTGAAATAATAGGGCGTGTATTGTCTATGCTTAGGCTTGTATGAGCGCGCGTCCATTTTGAATTGACATTAGATTAATGTTGGTCGAAAGAATAACCATCAACCATAAATACTCGGTGGAGGTTAAAAGTAAAATCTGTAGATAAAGGAAACGTGAGAGAAAAAAAATCAGAAAATAAAAAAAAAACGTTTTGAACAGAGCCAGATTTGGCATGAAGCCATCTTCGCGAAGCACCCAATGAAAAATAAACTGACAAGCAAT